ACGCGCGGGCTGGGCGCGCGGTGTGAGCGCAGCCTCGGCGCGGTGGGACGCGGTCAGGAGCAGGTGGCGCGCGGGGAAGTACGGCGGGGCGAGCGACGCACGGAGCGGCAGAGGCAGGCGCAGGCCGGGCACAGCGGGGATAGGCAGATGCCGCGCGAGGTGATGTAAGCGGGCGCGGCTGAAGTGGCAGCAAGCAGCAAGGCAGAACAGTGACAGCATCAGAAGCAACGCAAGAGCAGCAGGAGCGCGTACGCGGACATTGAGTTGCGGCCATGGCGACCGAAGCACGGGGACGATGATACGACGACAAATCAAGGGGGGTAGTAGGGGGGAATGGAGGAGGAGCTCACCGGGAAGTTGTAGGAGAGCTCAAGATGGTCGGGGAGGCCCGGTGGTGGAGATCAATGGCGGGGACGCGCGGCGACCGTGGCGGGAAGAAGAAGCGATGGCGAGGTTACGCGATTCCCTAGCTTGGGTTGGCCCCCGGGACGGACGAATGAGAGGGTGGCGGTCCTCCTGGACGTGTTCCCGTGCATCGGGAAGCACGGTTGCTGTGGTGACGACGACGACCGTGACGAGCGGCGGACGGGCGGTGACCACTTGGACGAGAGCGAGCGAGGGAGGGGAAAGTGAGGGTTAGGGTTTTGTCAGGGGGTCGCGGGGTCTTCTTATCCAACTCCAAGGTAGTTCCAGATGATCGAGACGGCGACAATCGGCGGCGTGGACGGCGTGCGTGCGTGCACAGCACCATGGCCTCCTATGCAGCACTGTACAGAGGTGGGAGGAAAAGCCTTTGTGGGCTGGGCCAAAACACTATAGCTACATAGAGCCCACCCGCACAGGAGCTTGTTGGTTTTTTTGTTTTTTTGTTTTACTTATTTTCTTATTCTGTTTTCTTTTAGTCTCTAATTTATTTTATATTCTAAAAAGATAAAAGTAGTTCCTAATTTAGTATAACTATATATACTACTGCCATATTAACTATGGCACCCAAATAAAATAGTTTAGCATTTTACTAAATATAAAAGGCATTTATTTAATTGTTTAAGATGTCATTTTATTTATTTTAGTGTATTTAAATAATTTATAAAAATGTGGTTTTACAATCATAATCATCTAGAATTTATTTGCTACATTTCGAACACTTTAGATTTAACATTTGAAAACTTTTATTGTCTGACTTGATTTTGAATTTGAATTCGGAATGAGATTTGAATCATCGTGAAATTAACAATAGTAAGTGTGGTGATGTGGCATCATTAGTAGATGGTTACTGTAGCTTAACTATCCGGGCGTCACACGTTGACTAAGCCTCTCTCACGAGCAAAACATGATCAGCACCAAGACTCCATGGGTGTTAGAATTATTACTATGTAATCTAGATTATTGACTCTACTGCAAGTGGGAGACTGAAGGAAATATGCCCTAGAGGCAATAATAAAGTTGTCATTTATATTTCCTTATATCATGATAAATGTTTATTATTCATGCTAGAATTGTATTAACCGAAAACTTAGTACATGTGTGAATACATAGACAAACAGAATGTCTCTAGTATGCCTCTACTTGACTAGCTCGTTAATCAAAGATGGTTAAGTTTCCTAGCCATAGACATGTGTTGTCATTTGATTAACGAGGACACATCATTAGAGAATGATATGATGGACAAGACCCATCAGTTAGCTTAGCATAATGATCGTTTAGTTTTTCTGCTATTACTTTCTTCATGACTTATACATGTTCCTCAGACTATGAGATTATGCAACTCCTGAATACCGAAGGAACACCTTGTGTGTTATCAAATGTCACAACATAACTGGGTGATTATAAAGATGCTCTACAGGTGTCTCCGATGGTGTTTGTTGAGTTGGCATAGATCGAGATTAGGATTTGTCACTCCGTATATCTGAGAGGTATCTCTAAGCCCTCTCGGTAATGCACATCACTATGAGCCTTGCACGCAATGTGTCTAATGAGTTAGCCACGGGATGATGCATTAGAGAACGAGTAAAGAGACTTGCCGGTGACGAGATTGAACTAGGTATGATGATACCGCCGATTGAATCTCGGGCAAGTAACATACTGATGACAAAGGGAACAACGTATGTTGTTATGCGGTTTGACTGATAAAGATCTTCATAGAATATGTAGGAGCCAATATGAGCATCCAGGTTCCGCTATTGGTTATTGATCGGAGATATGTCTCGGTCATGTCTACATAGTTCTCGAACCCGTAGGGTCGCACGCTTAATGTTCGATGACGATTTGTATTATGAGTTTCGTGTTTTGATGAACCGAAGTTTGTTCAGAGTCCCGGATGAGATCACGGACATGCCGAGGAGTCTCGAAATGGTCGAGACATAAATATTGATATATTGGAAGGGTATGTTTGGACACCGAAATGATTTCAGATAGGTTCGAGCATTTTTCGGAGTACCTGGGGGTTACCGAAACCCCCCGGGGGGTTAATGGGCCTTCATGGGACCTAGTGGAAGATAGGAGGAGGCGCCCCCCCAAGCCCAATCCGAATTGGGTTAGGGTTGGGGGGGCCTTTCCTTCTCTCCTTCTCCTCTTTCCCCCCTTCTCCTTGTAGGAATAGGAAAGGGGGGCGAATCCTACTTGGACCGGGAGTCCAAGTAGGACTCGACCCCTTGGTCGGCCTCCTCCTCCTCCCCCCTTTATATACATGGGGAGGGGGCACCCAAAGACACACAAGTTGATCTTTTAACCGTGTGCGGTGCCCCCTCCACAGTTACACACCTCGGTCATATCGTTGTAGTGCTTTGGCGAAGCCCTGCATCAATAACTTCATCATCACCGTCACCACGCCGTCGTGCTGACGAAACTCTCCCTCGGCCTCAACTGGATCAAGAGTTCGAGGGACGTCATCGAGCTGAACGTGTGCTGATCGCGGAGGTGTCGTGCGTTCGATACTTGGATCAGTTGGATCGCGAAGACGTTCGACTACATCATCCGCGTTACTAAACGCTTCTACTTTCGGTCCACGAGGGTACGTAGACACACTCTCCCCTCTCGTTGCTATGCATCTTCTAGATAGATCTTGCGTGATCGTAGGTAAATTTTTTGAAATACTGCGTTCCCCAACACAATCTACTTCTTCAGTAGCCTAATGTTGAGAAAAGGAAAACATACTAAGGAACCTGAACCTTCGAATTTCTATATGTCTGGATTATACCTGGCCATCTGTCGGGCCGGGCCTAACCAAGCCCGAAGGAAAAAACAGGTCTGGGCCCGGCCCGACCCAGGCGCCGGGCCTAGAAATCAGGCCCAAATATGGCGGGCCCGGCCCAGGCTCGGCCGGCGGGAAAGACCAGGTCAGGTTGGGTATCCCATGGCCAGGTATAGTCTGGACACATTGCTAGGTTAAACCCAATGACCCACTCGATGCTTAGATTGAT